CTACCCATGAACCTCCAAGAACCCTAAACCCTAAACCGTTGTAAAGGCCTCTGTCCGGAAGCTGACGCGTGACACGGTCTGGTCTTGAGGGGAGCCTGCACCGGGTTAAGGGCCCGATGTGCCAGCACCAAGCAGTACCAGCAGTACCCACACTACTGGCAGCGCAAACTACATGTCTCTATTTTGCCCCAGCTACGTTTTATCCTGCAAATTTGAAGAACCGATTTCAATTCCAGACGACATGCAACCAAGTGACAACCGACAAGCAACACCGATGTTCCTATTCTGCCTGGAACTTAACAGATTTCGGTCTGCTGCTCGCCTTTCCACTGGAACTGCAGATGGCGCCATTCCAAAGGCAAAGGCCTCACGCCAACCAGGACCGGCTAGGCTGGCAAAACCCTATTGGAAAGAGAGCATGGTCATGAAACAAGCACACTCGCGACAGAAACTTGGCTCTCTCTCTCTCTCTCTGTCTCTCTCTCTCTCTCTCTCTCTCTCTCTTTCTTCTTCTTCTTGAGCTTCAGCTCAACCAGACCAGACAGGTCAGCGTGCCCTGGCCCCCCACGCGAGCTCGTGCCCTACACCCTGGCTCTCTCTCTATCTTCTTCCTCCTCAGGAAGCAGAGGGAGCGTCTGAAGCCCCCTGGCCACTAGGACCCCCTAGATTTGGGGGCTTGTTGAAGGGTTGAAGGGAGTGTGAAAAGTTAAGTACACATTTGCTCTCTCTCTCTCTCTCTCTGTCTCTCTTTTCTTTGCTTTGCTTGGGGTTAGAAGTCAGGAGGAGCAACCTCCCAACCCGCGCCTAGGGGCATCCCCGTCCATCATTTTGACAGAGGGGCTTGGCTGTGCTGTGGTTAGGAGGGCCGGGTGCCTCGCTCTGTTCTGGAGCCTCCGTGGGGGCAGGATGTGCTTGCAACACCAAGGTTCTAGCAGTGCAAGAACGTGTGCCCCCAGGAGTTTCCATCAGTCTTTTCACTACTGTGTACCCCGCCTGTCCTGCCTTCACCCTGCCTTTATCCCGAACAAAAGCCTGATCCCCATCACTGCCTGCGACCTTCCACTCAACCCTTAAACCTGGTCAGCTCTGAGAGGGTGTCCCGAAGCAAACAAGCAAAGGTGACCCGCAACACAACTGCGGAGCAGGCTAGTGCCCCAAAGGTTACCGGCAACACAGGCTGCGGAACAGGTTTGCGCCCTCCATCAGAGCTGCAGTACTCTCAGACTATGCCAGCATGCGCTCGCCGCCGTCTGTGGCTTTGATCACTGCTCTCACTGGGTGCACTCAGTTCTTCTTCAGCTCGGTGTGGTGCTCCTCGTCCCTCGAGTGGTTGTGGCTGCGCCGCCATGTCCGGGTGCCACAGGTGCCACGGGACTGTGTCTGCGTCCGCGCTGTCCCTTCCGGTGCCGTGGCAGTGCACGTGTCGGCTCTATTCTATTCTCCGAGAAATAGGGTGCGAGTCAAGCACCCTGCGCCGTGAGGCGCACCCCTGTTTCGGGGCTTTGTAGGGGTAGTAGAAAGTATGGATGCTCGGTTTAAGGAGAGAAAAAGACATAGTTGCCCTCTCTCTCTCTCTCTCCCTCTCCCTACCTGGTGGGGAACCCCGCCCCGAGCTCCGCGCGCGAGCGCGCACCCGCAGCTCGCTCTCTCTCTGTCGCTCGCTCTGAATGTCTGAATGTGGCAAGTTTTCAAACAACATGCCCTGCACCAGCCTTGCCAAGCAGCGCCATTGCTACTACAAGCGACTCACCGAGTGAGAATGGTGCTCTGGAAAGGCCGGGAAGCTACTTCAGAGAATGAGGTGCCAGCTAGTGCTGCTTTTGTGTCGTCATGCGGCGGCAGCAAGCAAGAGCAGATCAGAACGGATCAGCTGCCACTCAAAATTCATGATTGAACTCAAGGTACTCAAGGTCTGGTTTTTCTCAACAATAAGCAGCAGCGACGACGCTTCCGTCTTCATTTATGGGCGCGCAGCAGACGCATGGCGAACAAGCGAACAGCCTGCCAGGTTGGGCACTCATGCACTGGTCTACATGATTATGTATGTATGTATGTATGCATGCATGTATGCATGCACAGAAAAAGCCAAACCGTGACGGGTTTCGCAGAATGAAGTAAGGTTTTCATGTGAAGTATGGAAAAGATGACTTCCATAAGGCCTATTTCTCGGAGGTGTAGATTTCGGAATGCAGTTGAAATGTTGCTTAGATGTGGCTTCTCTGCGGGTGTAAGCCTGAGTCGAAGATGACTTTAAGGATCGAACTTCACAGAGGCCAGGAGGTCTGGTGGCGAACAAGTTTGCTGCTCGCGACCTAGGGAAGCCTAGGCCAAGAAGGCCCAGGTACAGTACTTGGAGGTTCATGGGTAGTCAGAAGTAGGGTTATAGGTAGGGTAACTGTACTTATGATCCATCTTAGGGGACTTTTATCCCCACCTATAACTACCCATGAACCTCCAAGTAGACTCCACGTGTCGCCCGATGTGACATGCCCCGTGCCTGCCATGCCCCGGGCCCGGGCGCCCCGCAGGGCGGCCCGCATGGAGAGGCCCCAGGCATGCCCTGGCAGCAGCCAGACTAATCTGCCGAGGACAGCAGGAGCAGAACAGATTCGCGTCACCTCTACGAGTCGACGAAGCTTTGGAAAAGTCATACTTTCCTCTGAATGTGGGCCCTGTGGGTCCCTCTGCCTTACTCACCTGGGCATTTGGTACAACGGGACTGAGCGAGGTGCGACATTGAACCAAAGTCTGGCATCCGGCCCGGAAGTCCATGCTACATCGGAAAGAATACAAGACCTCCGTACCGATCCTAAGTTCCCTATAGACACTAGGATCCTTCTAATTCTACGGACCCCAGCTACGACAGCCTGCATTGGAGGAGGGCGGCCCCCGGGCATTCCCTGGTGGCGGTTCCAAGGATTCATGCGAAGCGAAGCCCAGAGAGCCCAATGCCCCTTAATTAAGGAATATACCTTAAATCATAATAATAAGCCCCTTATAGTTTAAGGTATATTGCTTAATTAAGGGGTATTGGGGTCTCTGGGAGAGGGACAAGGGTCAAGGCTTAGGGCTTAGGGCCTCAGGCTGTCAGGGCTTCTTTTGACACTCAAGTCTGCAGCGATACAGGTTCAGGGTTTAGGCTGTAGCCCTGAGAGCGATACCTTCAAGGGTCAGGCTGTGATTTCGTTATCGACTCTCTCACGCTCGCACGAGGCAGGCAAGGCTCCACTCGATCCAAGATTGACTCTGCAGCCAAGTGGTGGTGCCCACTTCACAACAACCACACAACCAAATCGAACCCAACAAAATCAAACCCACCAAAGGGCACACTGAATTCGGTTTCGGGCAGGGTGTGACCTGGGTAGTGGAGAGATGCAGCCGTTGGAGGGAACCCAAAGGCTCAAGGACCGAAACGCTGCAAAGCTCCTGGAGCTTACAGCTCGAACATCCGCAAGCACCACCTCAGCAAAAGGTCCAAGGCCTTAAGGCCTTTACCAGTAGCCTCAGTTTCGAATGCATGCGACTCCAAAAAAACAAGCATCTTCTATGTGCTCTGGGCACCTATGCTTTGTCAGGCTTTTTCGTGCTACCATACATAAGCCGAAGGACTCCAAACTCTTGTTTGGCTCGGGTTTTCATCGCCTTCACCGCCAAAGCCCGAAATGCCTGTGTGTGCAGGGGTGGAGGGGAGCAGCCGCCAGCGCAGCCGCCAGCACAGCCCGCCTCTCTTGGGGATAAAGGGGATGCTACTATTGGCTCCGACCCCTCTATGGATTGAAGAGGTGGGGGGTTCGGTCTTCAGGGCTGTATGCGTGCAATAGAGCCTGAGATCTCTCTTCTCGAACTAT